CCAATCTTTAGATTGCACTAATAAGTAAGTACAATTTTATCATATGTTTTGCAAATTCATTTCCCTAATAGTAGTAATATTTTAAACCGTTTGATTTTTGTATTAAAGTTTTTTTAATTGATTGATGATTGATTCAATCAACTAATTTTTTGATTGTTTGATTGTATTAACTTGATTCTTTAGATATTGAAAATTAAATAAATAACGTTATGTTAATTTAAGCGTACAGAAACATTGCTGCTGTTCCAGCAAAAATCTTATTTTCACTTTACCGAGTGCCTAGTAGGTAATGTGCAGATTACCTAGATACTGTGCACATTACCTAGGTAATTTGAGAAATAGAACAATTTTAGCAACTTTAACGGATCACCCTAGTTAATGTGCAGATTAGCTAGGTAATGTGCACATTAACGGATTTCGAGCTTTAGCGGTAACATATACACAAATCAAACCACATGTTGCAAAATGAGTTACAACTTTATAACTAAGTGAATCTACAGATTTGGAATCAGCAGATAAGGAGGATTGATTGTACTACATTGATTGTATTGCATATACACATCTATAAATGCTAATTTATCTATACCTCCATTACCATTTGTTAATGAAGATGATGTTTTTGTTTGCTGTACTAGTGATTTCACTAGTACAGCACTATGCTTGCACTATATACATATACCGTGATTGTGTTTTATTTTCCCATCCCAATCTCTCTTAATATAGTTTTATTGTTTGAAAAATATGGGAAGTGGAAAGAAAAAGAAAATGATTCATTTAACATAGTACCAGACTTTTATTAAATATGCAATTTGAAATTTTGTTCCCTCTTTTATTATTTCTGTATTGGCCAACACTTTCATTAATCTGACCAGGTATTAGTCCCGCTGAAGTCAGAACTTCATTTAATTGGAGCTGCAATGTACATATGTATGTGTGTTGCATTTCAATGTAATTTCCAAATAATTGTCAATTATCCATTTAATACTACATACACTATATTTTATGCATTAAAATTATTACTTTAAATGAAATTTTGAATTATTTGTCCACTCCACTTCATATTAATCAATAAATATCATGTTACATTGTAGTCTAATATCACTTAATTAGCAATTTTAATTTAAAATATATTTCTTTAATATAAAATATTTGGTCGATACATAAGTTCATGCCGTGTCATTTTTCCTCTATGGAATTGTTGGTATTGATTCATCGAAATTATGTCATTTTGTAGTGTTGTGTTCCAATTATATAGACACGTTGTTGGATTCATTAAATTACTGGCTTTTTTTAATACAGGTCACAAAGGATAGTGCGCCAAGTTGAGAAGAAAGAACATTTCCTACACTTGCTTCTGTACGAGTTCAACAAGAAAACTATCGATGCTGCCAGAAACATTTATACTGTCTAAGCGGTAAATATTATAGCACAGAGCAATTCACTAATGAATTTTCATATCAGAGATAGCATTCCTAATAACAGTACCTTTTGGACCTTACCCCATATGTTTGAGATGTTGAACAATTGTTGCCTGATCACATTTCATTTCAATGGCTAATTCTTGTGCTGTTTGAATGAAATTTCATTCATATGATCATCTTAAAAATTTATTAACCAATCACTATAAGCACAAATTATGGTAAAAACTTGTTTCCAAACAAAAAAAAATCATTTCCAAGCCATTCTTTGTTATATTTTACCTGTATAACGTTGTGTGATTATCATTTAATGTTTCTATAGCTGTGACACCTTTGCATGCTTGTGATCATACAGAAGCAGGCGTAGAAAATGCTCTTTGTTTTCAACTCAACACTGTTCATGGCCTGTAATACACTAGTAACTTGAATGAATCCAATAACACATAATTGTAACAGGAATATGACCAAAAGAAATGGCATATTTCAATGCATCAGCACCAATAATTCCATAAGGGGAAAAAACTGACTCGGCACCAACCCATAAACCGATAGTTTAAATAAAATGTATTCTGATTTGTTGTACCTCTACAAATTTAAATAATTTAACAATTTTATTGGCTATATAATTTTTTCTTTGAAATATAAATATTTATAAGTTCGGGGTTTGCAATAAACAGAAGAATACGATAAAAACGTACCTAAAACTTTTAAATTTTAATTGTTAATACAGATTCTTTAATCACCATTTGGATTAAAAGATTACCTCACGTCCATATTGTCCTTTTAAATCGCTTTATGAATTTACTGTTAAAAATTAAAAATAATAACTTTTACTTTTAAACTTCATTTCCATATTCCCAATAAAGCAACGTGACAGTTAACCGAAAACACACTACGCGATTTCAAAATAAGCACAGCGCCATCTTATATATTATTATTTGAAGGTTGCTAGATAGACAGAGTGAATTATTTCCATATTAAGTCAAAAAAATTTTCTAAATTAATTACGAGTATTTTATCAAAAAATTTTTCACAATAATGTCAATTTTACAGAAAAAATTTTAATAATTTCAATTGCTCATAAATCATATTTTAACAAATCATTTAAATGTTCTATTTAGGGTTATAAACATGGAATTTTTATTTAATGATTTTTTTTCATAATTTGAAAGTATGAAAGATATTTTTTCACATTTTTTTTTGTCTTTTTACTTTCTAAAAGGGTCGTTATTCCATACCCGTCCTGAATTGACGGCCTGATGGCCGTGGCAGGCTGCCGCTCTGGGGAGACCCGGGTTCGAATCCGTATGGATCGAAATATCCCCAGGAATTTTTTGTGGATGATCCGATCGGATATGTCGAACCCATAATGGACTTGCTAAAAGAGGCCCTCTTAGTACCCACAGGGCGGAAAGAGTTTTAAAAAACCCGTCCTGAGTTTGCAAGTCCACAATCGAGATGTCCGGGTGGTGAAAAGATGGGTCCTAAATATCGAAGATAAAACACTGGGGTCTTTCGACCATCTGGATTTTATCATAGTCTCCCAGAGCAGTATAAATTTAATTTCTTGACGGCTATCATTTGACTTATCAAAAGCCAACTTTTAACGTAAATTACTGGCTTCATTAGGAATATTCAGACAAAAATATTTATAAATTGTAAGGTATTTTTTGATGTTAAATCTCGTCGTACAGATGAAATTTTTTGTGCTTAACGATTTGCTTTTTTGACAACGAAAGCACAAAAACGATTTGCTTTTTTGTGCTTTCTTGACGGCTAGATGGCCGAAGCGGCCATCTAGCCGTCAAGAATAAATACCTGTTATTTATGGGCGATCTTCCGAGGAGGATATCTTCCGGAAGGTCTTTTACGGGAAATTGCGTGGAGCTATAATATATTATTGAAACGGCAGCGCTCTGTTGCTACTAGCTGCGCACTTGAAGCCAGAAGCAGTTCCATTGTAGAACAAACCGCCATATTGTGAGGGGAAGAAACGTTTGTTTTTCTTTTAAATGACAAGTTCAAAAAAAGAAAAAGAAAAGGTAGCGTTGGAAAACGAGGTAAAAGGTAAAGAATAACATGAAAACGATAAAGAAAACATTCGATTAGGTTTATTTATCGTAGGTAAGGCAGCCACATTCCCTATAGTATGTTTCGTCTGTTTATCTCTCATTTCTGGTAAAACTTTCATTATCACTTTTTTCAATTTCACTTATCCAATCTTAATTAATGATTTTTTTTATTTAATGATGCGAACACGATGTTCGCATCAAATAAAAAAAGAGCAAAAACCTGACTGGCAACATATTGCAACGAAAGAAAAACAAATGCAAATCTGAAATGGCCATTAAGAAATTTTTATCTAAAGCCAAAAATAGCAAATTTTTATTGTATTTTCGGGTATAGCACTTAATATATATATCCGGAATTCTAGCCAGGGCAGTTTTAAGAGTACTTTTTAATGTTCTATCTGATTTTCTAACCCGGAAATTTTTGTTAGGCGGATGCTGAGTACTTACTTTGATTTGATGTGATTACTTACTTTGATTTGATGTGATTCAGCCGAACTAACTTGCATCGTATTAAAAATATCCTTAAAATTATTTTTTCAAGGATATTTTTGCAATATCTAATTTTTTGGCTAAGATAAGCTAACTTTTCTGGCATTGTAAAAAATCGTTAAGCACAAAAAATGTCATCGACGNGGTGGGAAGAGCGACAGAGTGAGTGGTCGGGACACGCTAGAAAGAGGAAGGGTGAAGTGATGGTCCCCGAAAGTGACAACGTTGAGTTTCAATTTTTCTTCTGTTTACAATGTAAGTATCTTTTCTTCAGGTTTTAAATTAAATTGTGGCTTTTCTGACTTATCTAAACATAGTATTTCACACCATCCCCTCGCCACTTAGACTATCCCTACGACAAGTCGATCGCGACACATTTTTAAGATAAAAAGTAGATCTTACGTACACAAAAGTTGGCCACCCCTGGTATATACCTCCTATCAAACCTATTACTGCTTATACCAAATGCAGGATACTATTTAGTCATGATTATTTAAATTAAACATGTTAAAAATCAATTACTGTAAAATAAAAATTTACTAGACTAAATGATTTTGTTAGAATTTTTATTATAAAGTGTGGCAATTGTTTAATAATTCAAAATTACATTTAATATATTGAAAATGAAATAATTTTCTTCACTGTAGCATTCAAATAATTTCTTAATTAAATTTTTAATAATGATAAATAAAAAATTTTATCATATAATCAAAGAAAATATTTTGAAGTAAATTTGCATTATATCAACAATGTCAATTATATGAAAATTATCAATGATTAGATACTTTAAATCTTCAATAATACAATTGTACAAAATGCATATCTTAAATACATATTAGGATGAAAACATATCATACAAAGTATGAACTTTTGATTTTTTTGTAGTTGGTTCAGTAACTAATTTATCCTTTAACTTTGCATCTTCATCCTTCAAAACTTGTGTCCAGAACTCATCATCACCACTAGTATCTTCCATAAACTGATAAATTAATGGTTGAAAAGGATCTCTTGCCCTTTTCATATCAGCATCAAAAAAATTATCTTTACTCAAACCCACTTTATTTAAAGTATTCAATTTTCTTTGTACTAATGGCCAAATATGATCATCAGCTGTACCTTGAGCAACAAGATACTGAATAACCACAGAATCTTCTTGACCAATACGATGAACTCTATCTTCTGCTTGAGTTAATATACCAGGATTCCAAAACAATTCAGCAAATACTACTAAATGTGTAGATGTGAGTGAGATACCTGCATTGGCTGCTGTTATACTTAACACAGCAATTCTACATTCATCATTAAATTGAAATATGTCACAACAGTCTTTTCTTTCTTCAGATTTTGTTGAACCATCAATCCTGATATATTTAGAGTTAGTTGATTCAACTGCTTCACATATTCCATCTAACATGACTTTATGATGTGCAAAGCAAACAAATTTTTTTCCTCCTTCCAACAAGTCTTTAATATAATCACACACAGCTGTTAATTTTGAATGACTTGTTTCTTTGAAATACTCAAGTAATATTCCTCTACGTTCCATAGTTTTCAATTCTTTTCTGCACAAATCTGCAGACATTGATTCAAAAACCTTTTTTCTAATTTGAATAGAATGAGGATCTAGCAGAATCATTTGACGAGATTTAGGTGGAAGTTGAGAAATTACATTTGATTTTAATCTCCTGATCATAACAGTTTCTTCTAATAACAGCTGCAATTCATTCATGTTTGATGAACCATCATAATTCCAACCCCAAGGCATTTTCTTAGCATTACAATAACGTAAACCAAATTCATGATAATGGGGGAAAATTTCAGGATTTATTGCAGAAATCTGAGAATACAATTCTATAGGACGTGACAGAGCTGGTGTTCCAGATAGCATTATTAATCTTTTGCATTGTCGCATTATTGGTTTTGCTGCAACAGTTCTTGCAGCTTTAATATTTTTTAAAAAATGACATTCGTCCATAATTACAATTTGAAATCGTTTTGATAAGAATTCACTTGCTCTTCTTTTTAGTAAATCATAACTTGTAATGAGAATTTTATTATTACCTATTTCATCTTTGCCAGTGTTAACAACAGTTATATTACTCCTTTTCAGAAATGGTAACCAATTCAAAAATGCTTCAACCCAAGTATAACGTACAGATGAAGGAGCAACAACTAGAACTGGCCAATCTTCTTTATAATATCTTGCAATTGCAATTGCTTGAATTGTTTTACCAAGTCCCATATCATCTGCAATCAAAACTCTTCCTTCAAGACTAATACCAAAACTTACTCCTTGTTTTTGAAAAGGCATCAAACTTTCTAGTAATGAGGAATCCAAAACTGAAAGATCTTGAGAAAGTTTTATTTCAGGATCTTCATCTTTTGAAAAAACTTTAACAACTATTTTTGGAAGTGGTGTTATAACCACTTCAGGAGAAAGAGTTTTAGTAGCCTTTATAAGAGTATTATGATCCTTAATATTAAAACTCCACTTTTTTTCTTTAGCATCATATAATTTACTATGAATAGTGCGAAAAAGTTCAATTAATTTAGAATGATAGCCTATTTCAACCATAAAACGTGAACGTGAGACAAGAACACATGTTCCTGTAATCTGTTTATCAGATGTTGGCAAATTAGCTTTTTTAGAAAATTTATTGTTGTTATGATTCCAGTTGCTTGTTGACACTTTATTATTGTTATATGTTTTATTTGAAAATATTTTCTTAGAAGGAAGTCTACTATCATCAGATTTTGAATTATAAAAATCTGATTGTTGTTTTTGTAAGTTAATAAATCCATTTGTTCCTGAAGCATTTTGTAATTTTGCAGCACGTTTTTCAAGAGCTTTTCTTCTGTTTTCTTCTATTCTTCGTTTTTGTTCCTCACTGAGTGTAACAATAGATGTCATTTTTCACCCTCCTTTTTATTCTTTTATACAATCTTGATAGTTGTGATGCCTAAAATAAAATATTTATTTTTTAAAATGATTGTTATTTTACACAATTATAAAGGTCTGAAAATTTTAATTTTATTACATTTTTAAAGAATTTGTTTTCATACAAACATTACAATAATTAAATTTTAATTACTACTAAAGCAATGTTTAATTATAGTAATTATATTAAAAAATTATATAAAAATGATTTAATTCTAAAATGTCTATGTTCACAATTCTATGATCAAAAGTCAAAATCAGAATTTCACTAGCAATCATTTTGGTTTAAATGCATATTGAATTTTTTTCTTGCAGTAAAAGAAATTATTATTTTATAACAAATAATTAGTAATATTAATAACACAGTGTTCCAAAAATTAAATAAATAAATTAATGTATAAAATATTATGAATAATCTTATAAATCAATTATTATTTATGCAGTAAAATATTTCTTCATTATCCAGCCATCAGTTATTTGAATTAACCACATGATATACAGTACAGTCAATCATTATCTGCAAGCATTACATTTCTGGAAAGTCTACAGTTATGGAAATTACACTTACTGAAGCATTGATTTCATAAGAAAAATGGAGTCAGGTTTCTGCCAATCTTCACTATACATCTTTGCTATCCATAATATTTTATGTATTGTTCTTACAAAGAACAATTTCCATATTATTGTACATATTTTATAAAGGTATTTTATGGTTGTTTAACAAAAATTTATGATGTCCAAGTTTTATATGATTTGTGACTCAGCCATAGAATTATTATTATTGTTATTATTTTTTGAAACATTAAAATTACAATATCTTGCTTAAAATTTTCACTAAAATCAAGTTTTTTAGTTTTAATAAAAAACCTACTACTGCTATTTAGTGATGATTAAGTGTTTATATAATTTGTACTTTTTTGTAATTTTTCAAATAAGAAAATTCCCAAAATTTAGCACATTTTAAAAATCATTAATTTTCTTCTTACAGTTGCTATTATTTCTAGAGTGAAGCAAGTCAAGAATACAAATCTTATCTATTAAACTCATTACAATACATTTTCACATAAGAGTACTTATTAAAGTATACAGTACATTTGTACAGCTTTACTGTCATTGTTGAAAATATGAAACAAGACTGTAGCTTTCCCTGGTAGATATGTTTCTGAGACATATCATATTGCACAATACTTCTTTAAATTTTTTCACTTCCTCTTATGATCATATATATGTTACCGCTAAAGCTCGAAATCCGTTAATGTGCACATTACCTAGCTAATCTGCACATTAACTAGGGTGATCCGTTAAAGTTGCTAAAATTGTTCTATTTCTCAAATTACCTAGGTAATGTGCACAGTATCTAGGTAATCTGCACATTACCTACTAGACACTCGGTAAAGTGAAAATAAGAGTTTTGCTGGAACAGCAGCAATGTTTCTGTACGCTTAAATTAACATAACGTTATTTATTTAATTTTCAATATCTAAAGAATCAAGTTAATACAATCAAACAATCAAAAAATTAGTTGATTGAATCAATCATCAATCAATTAAAAAAACTTTAATACAAAAATCAAACAGTTTAAAATATTATTACTATTAGGGAAATGAATTTGCAAAACATATGATAAAATTGTACTTACTTATTAGTGCAATCTAAAGATTGGTGACACTTTGAATTACATAGCAATTGGTTTTTGCAACAAGCACGCCTATTTGTGGTACATTTAGATTTGCAGTCACATTTTCTGAAACCCTG